AAAACTTCTCATGATGATCAGTGTCAGTTCCAATCAATGACAAGACATCAAACATATGACAAAACACATCGTTAAATTTTTCCCAAAAAATGTACTGATTATTGACCCAAAATATTAACCTTATTTGCATTTTTGTTTGTTTTGCAGAATCCAAGAAGGGCACCGATGTTGAACAAAGAATCACTTTTGCACAGCCTAATACATTTTGGTTTGCTTCCAGATTGATCTAATTTACTAGAAGATGTTGCTTTGCAATTGATGTGATATGCAATAAAGGTGTCACATGAATTAAAGATAAGTCAATTGCAAGATGATCACAATATTCATACATGTCAAAAAAGTCTATGAAATCTGGTTAGTGTTTTCTCAGGCTGTTTGGCTAGTGTCTTTTTTTTATTTGCAAATTGTGTATTACCGGTACATGCATTTTACATTTTTGAATATTGGCAAAAATCTCACTCACTTCTTTTTATGCAATCAAACCTTTTATAGCATTTACTGGTTTCTGTGATGCCATTGGTTAGAAATCTAATTGCTATGCATGCAGAATTAGATCTTCATTTCATATCACTGAACATACACCGGCAAATATCAAAGTTGCATATCCTCATCTTATAAATCCTTAAAACCTCTGATATAATATATTGTTGTTGTTGTACAAGGTATTGGACTTGGTAATCATTTGATTCTCAGCTAAACTCATCAAGTTTGAGGACCCAGCAAAAATCCTACTTCATACTACATGTACAATTTAATTTTTTTGAAATTTCAATTATTGAGAAAATATTCAAGACAGTCTAAAATGGTTTACATTATCATATAAATAATGATATTAAACAATTATTTACTTTACATTAAATCATCGGACAAACCAAATTCTGGAACATTCCTGAAATCACTATAGAGTAGCCCGGTAATTTCAAAGGACAATGAAATTGCAACCAAGTTTGCTAAGTCTTGAAGCGACGTAATTTTTTAGGATCAAAGCGTAAAAAATCAGGGTCTTCCTCGAGTTTCAAATCGAGCACAGCTTTAGCGATTACAAGAAAAATATTCTTTTTATAGTTGGACGATGAAACGCCGAATTTACGTAGGAAGTCTTCGAGCTATGGCACGGTCATTCTGTCGAAGTCAGCTATGGTCGAAAACGTGAAACAAATGCAATGAATCACTCAGAAATTTAACGCACGACATTAGGGTACACGCACGATTTAGCACTATTTTGATTCAAAGCTTGACCTGTATCACATGACTAGCAACCAGTTGCTAGGTAAATTTAACGGTCTTTGCGAGGTCTCGCGAGATCTCGACCGAACAGAAAATAGCCTATTACAAAATGATAATTTTGCATGACAATAACATAAGTGAATAGGCTGTAACACATTTTAGCTGCCATGTTTCCTGTTTATTCCAGATACTAGTACCTAAATCATAACACCAGTGTATTGTCTTTTCTACCTCCATGCTCTATTAGTTCGGCTCAGATAGAAAGCTGCCGTGTGAACATAGCAAATATTCATATACCCCTAAGCTTACAATTAAGGATGCTGTAACCGTTTTTGGTATTGATTTTCTAAACTGATATTTTCATATAAAATATTTACTGAACCACACAAAGCTATATATTGATGGAAAGCCTATTTCACACTGGATATGAAATCGACAAGATAGTGTGTGTATGGACGTGTATAGTCATGTGATTGGTAAACATATAATTGAACAATTGAATAAACAAATTTAGTGGAACATTGGCAACAAAACAGTTTTTCAGACGACGCTCACCAACATTCTACGTTGACTGAGATATATATGTACATAATAGTTGGAGAAGCAATTATAATTTAGCTATCTTGAAAAACAATGCGATCTGGTTCTTTCTGGTATTCAGAAATTAGAACATAATTTCGAAACAAATAGGGAAAAAGGAAAATCCCAGCGCCGCTTGAGAGGGAACATATCGAAGAGTGTCTGTGCGAAAAATTAGTATAATGTATCCACTAGAACTCGAGATCAAAGGCCTGCAGTTGACGTAAATCGCTGTTTTGATTAACCAGGAAAACGGCAAAAACAACTTAGCAGCAACGTATCATCAGCTAACTCAAAATTCGTGTGTCCCTTGGATCAAAACAAACTCATAATGACTAGTCAGGTATCTGTCTGTCATAATCACGCAGATGTGAGAATATACGTGGTCGCAATTGGTTATAAAGTACGAAATTATACTCCCGAATCCAATAGGAAACACTATTTCACGGCGTGACAAAGCCGCGCCAAAATGACGTCATTATTAGGTTGTGGGAGGAGACGCTCCTTTTCTGGAGGACTCATTACCATACAGTGCCCTCCATGGAAGGTCAATCTCTTGCTCCGCTGCTGAACCAGTAACCATGACTAAACGCACCACCAGAGTCAACTACATGTAATTTTCTTTCCGATTTTTTTTTTACTACGCGAGATGTCTCGACAAAAATCTGTTTTATCTGATTTGAATGGCAATGAGA